GTCATAATAAGGTTTAGTATATTTTCACTTGCATGGCCAGTTTTACAAATCCTGGATAAAGACAGATGCACATGTACTGTACATGTACGCAATAGCTGTAAATACCGGCATACAGTGTAGTAAGTTTTAAATTCAGCATAATTGCACGTGCATGTACAGTCCATGTATATTGATATAGGTCCAACCACAGAGACAGATCTGCATGTACCGTACACAAATGTTTGCACCGTAGGTGTGGGACTACACATGTGCTGAATGATACATGGTAGTCACAAAGATGATTACGAGGAGAAATTTTGTGATTGGGACATTTTGTTTTATTGTCCCAACAACTCGGTTCACACATGCCTGACATGCAAAAGTGTCTCCTCCATGCAATACCAGCTGGGGGCAAATGTACGTGTACATGTACATGTAGTCTTGAGGCACACTAGTATCACGTCTAGCACAACTGTATTTTTTTTCCGATGAATATTTGAGATTCTTTCCAACATGCCAAGTTTAGTGCATATTCTAATATTATGACATCCAGTAGAGTTCCCATAAATCACTTTGTTTGGACTTCCCAAGCACCCTAGTTCTTTTCTCAAGGATATATAGGCATTACACAAGATTTGGCAGAACCAAGAGTGATTTATGTTGCCACAGTGTAGTATATTAGTCTTGCTTGCACTTTCAAGTGCAAAAATAGACCCTATATAGCATAATGGGAAGTACCAGTGCTGCCAAGGGTTTTTTACTTCCAACTTGCAAAATGCATGTACATGTACATGAGTCTTTTCATCAAGCATGACCGGTAATAAGATAACATTTCACTAAATTGGATTGTGGACTCACTGCCATGCCGGTAAGAATTTTTTCAATTAGAATCTGGTGTATGCGTCTACTGGTACATGTGCTGTAAATGTACCATACATGGACACAGGTCTCTCTTTCTTAAGAGCTCCATAAGGAAACAGTGACAGTATTGCACTGTGAAGGGGTTGTGTAGTGATCTGCAAGGCCTCACACATGCCATACATGTACATGTAAACGTTTTCATTACAAGTTTTTAAAATACATTTACATGTATATTTACTGCTTGTTTTACCTTGCTAGTCCAAAGCATGTGTTCATAAGCCTACCGGTATCTGTTTGAGATCAAATGGGACACTTTATGTCCAGGTGTACCTAGATCTTGATTTGCTAGGTGTTGAAGTGTACACGTACCGATATGTACATGTATGGTGTTCAAAGAATGAATTTTCCTTGCTTAACTGACTGTATTCTTGTATTGTTTCAGATGTTACCGGAAGTTCTGATATAGTACTTTCCTGTCAAAAATAAAACCTTAATATGTAGTTGAAATTAATAAGGGAATAAATATGTGTTTGGCTGGTCTGAAACGTGCATTTAAGACCAGCTCAGGAGAATGAACGCGACTAATGTCTGAGCTGCAGGTAAGGGCATTATCAGCATTCATTCTCCTAAGCCAGTCTCAAATGTTAGTTTAAGACCAGCCAGTTTATTCCCATTAATAAGTACCGTTTTAGTCAGAGAGTAAAAATACAAACACAATAAATTTCCAAGGGTTTTGTTCAAGAATTTTACTTCCATTTTCCCGAACGCCCCCATCCATTTTATGGTATATTCCTTGTGTAAGGAACTTGGCACCCGCATGGCAAGATCTGCATGCCGCGGCACACACAGACTCATGCCCAATAAGAATGAATTAAACTATCTCGTATCCAGGTGCTAGCACGTTTTTAAGAAGCAGGGATTATCAAATTGCTGTGAGCATTATCAAATGTTAATACAGGGTCATGTTGTACATTTTTGAATAGAGAAACTGTCTAACGTACATCAATTACGGTTAAGTAATTTATTTTATTTCATGATTGCCAGACAGGAAATGATTATTGAAGCCCCACGTGTCCATGCGCTTGAGACTGTAATACATTTCCTCATGTTATTGAATTCCTAGAATGAAGCTTCATTACAGTCCCTTCCCCCAGGCTGGAGAGAGGAGAAGACCCCAAGTGGTGGAGATGTCTTCATCAATGACCAGTTCAAAGAAAAGGTAATCCTTGTCCCGGAATAAAGACAAGTTTTAGTTTAAGAGATCTGGACTTAGCGTATATGTAGATCTGTAGTACACATAAGACTCATAGTAGTTATTCAACAGACAATCATGGCTGTCCATGAACGTGTGCTGTGAATGTGAGTTGCTTTGGGAAAGGGAGATATATACATATACTGGTAAGTTGCACTATGCCTTTCTGTGCTATGGGGGCCTGCTCCAGGTTGAGAGGATGAAATAATGCAGGCAAAATCAAGTTAGCCAGACAAGTTATAATTCACATGAGGAATTTGTCAAGAAGAGAATGTACAGAATTGTTCAGAATTTGATGGTTTGCTTACACGTACACGTGAGGTAAGCCTGAGTATGTCTCAGTACACCAAGTTAAGTTGTGAAAGCAATTTTTTAAGCTGAACATTTAAGATGAGTCAAAGTTATTGCCTGCTAGTACCCAATATCTTGAGAATTTTACCAAACATTTCAAAACCAAAATTAGGAAATGATGGTTTCCCAACTTGCTGCTGGTTAGTAAATGCAACATTCAGCAAAAGCCATACTGAAAACTCATCAGGATGTCAGTTTCTGTACAATATTGGATAAAAATATAACACTGGCAAAGTGTGAGAGGGCTCCGTGTACACATGTTTACTAAATCACAGACATAAACCTGTTTCCTGCCACCAAGCAAATTCATGGAAATGGGGAAATCCTTCACACTGTACAGGTACATGCGCATGCACATTATCAGTGTCTGGTTCATTCCTTAAATGCATGTAGCAGTGGAATTTCCATGAATTTTACTTCAGTGAAGTTATTTTTATGTATTTTATTTTTCTTTTTTCCCCCTTGATATGAATCATTCTCATTATTACAAAAATCATCAAAAGATCATAACTGTGTTTGGTCAATTTTGTTATTCAGTGAGACCGAAAACATACATACTCATTAACATGTAATTGGTGCTTTTCAAGATAATAGCGTGTACATATATACATTTTTAGAGGACTTTTTGGCTAAAACTGATAGCCTACCACATGTACCGGTACATGTAATGTCCATGACCCTAAGGTACACATTTACTAAATCCATAATATAAATAGAAAGTGGGAAGGTACGGTTTTTTAATATTGTAATTTTTGTCCTAATCAGTGCATTTACCTCTAATAAGTGTAGGTAAGATGCCATATTGTATTATGAAAGGTTTAGGGTTGCATGAATACGGTATGATGCGTGAGGTGAGTGTGTCTTTGCGTATAGTCAGTGATTTGTACATTTGATGACATAGAACACTTTTATAAAACATACCGGTGTAATGGTCTCAGTCTCTTGAAGTACTTTTCTCTATTTTTCCAGTTCTTTTAAAGGGTTCCAAAACAACAAAATTATTTAGTTGTCCCATTAACTTCTTGTAATGACAGTTGACTACACTTACATGTACACAAATGTAAGTATACCAATTACCATGTATTTGTTTGATCTTAACTGATGGAACATACCACTCTGTGTTTACTGGTATGGTATTAGTGAAGACTTACATATGAATTCAATGTCCCGGTAAAATTCACAAACTGCCCCCAAGGGTTGTCTCAGAACCGGATGGTTTTGGGGAGGAGGGGGCAAAACATGGAAATTTATCAGTGTAAACCTTAATGGTCTGTGTGGGGGTTGGGGCAAAATTTGGGGGGTTTTATACTCATTTGGAAGGAAGGCAAGTGAAGTACATATAGCCTAAAATCTGTCTTTAGTTATATTCCATAAATAAAATATTGCATCTGGGCAGCTGGGCTAGGGCATGGTTCCTATTGGCTCCCCTTTGATCTACCAATATGTAATTCTAAATGTGTAACATACATTTCTTTGCCAGTGAAACTGCTGTCGTGCCAAAACTGAGTCGTACCACTCTTGTTTCCATGTACAGACCCATTACATGTAACGGGTGCACATGTATATGCACATGTACAGTGAACAAGTAATTCATTGCATTGTAGACATGTACACATGTACGTGTAGTGGTACATGTACATCAGTGCTGTGCGGAGACAATTAAAACGAGGAGCCACGTACATGTACTGGCTCCTAAATAAAAAGTTAGGTGCCAGGTCCGTGTTTGTACATACTGTACACACATTTTCAAAATACACAAGTATACGTGTACAATATCTGACAAAACATCTCAGTTCTTGGTCCCCATGCACGCTCTATACAGCATGGGACCACAAACCAGTCGACTCAGGTACCTGGTACCCGCACATGCATGTATGTACCTACATGCAAGCTACGTTTCAGTTTGACGTGGGCTCATGCTGTGTCCTCTTATTCAAGCCCCATTGAAAACAGTGTAAAATCGTCATTGTTCAAGGCCCAAGAACATGCGTAGGAGGGCAAAAAATGTGTTATCATAGAGACACATCGCTCAGTCCACGTAGAAAAAAACTGGACAGCAATCGGTTTTGAAATACGACGAACAAGGTGGCGACCAACGGGCACAAATCATGGTCACCATTGGCAATAAGAATGAAACGTGTTGTTGCATATCATTGTTCAGGTGCAAATGCGACTGTTTTGGTCGCACTGTACAGTGCTGTGGTACATGTACTTACAACTTGTACAATATGGGTTTGTGTTACTTTTTGTGACGTACATGTATCAGACTCAGTGTGGCAAGGTTACTCCCCATTAAGTTTATGCACAGTGTAAATAAACAATGGTTGATGAATCTAGTTTCAGTATCAGTGTAAAGTATCTGTGAACATTACTCATACATGTACATGTACAGTGTACTGTAAATGTACATGTACACAAAACTGCTGGAAGACAGCAGAAAGATATTCATTGATGTCAAACAAGAAATCGTGATAGTTTTAGTACAAGTAGTATTAAAGGTAAAATTGATACAGTACCATGTAAATTTCCTGAGAATTACATGGCAACCATCATAGACTATTGCATTTTCTTTGGATGAAAAGTCTTAAATTCCAACCATGCAGGGATCATAACGCTGCACATTTTTGTAACACATGTACATAGTTACCAATCACTGCATTCAAGTCTGTTAAATTTAGTTTTTGATCAATGGTTTATCTTGCAGTGGTACAAATCCCAAAACGAGCACGGAGAGACATATTACTACAGCGGTGACCGTGAGGAAACGGGCTGGAGTCTACCCACTGTAAGTCATAGTGGTCTGTATCAATGTATGGTACACATACTGGTGCAAAGCACACTTCTGACCCTGTGGACTCTATTGGAATATTACATGTAGATGCCAGTTCATTACCACTCAAGTCACTCTAAAAATTCAGGGTCCAAAAGTGTGACATTTTGGTGTCCTTGCTGCACCTAACCTGTGTATTTTGACATGGAAATAAATATCACTGAAACTGCCTTCAGACTATTTTTGATTTGTCTGGCAGGTCATTTTGCCTTGCATGATCATGCTTGGAAATTAAAGAATGTGTTCTGAACAGCATACGTGTACGTCAGATGTGCTGGCGATATTAATATTTTTCATCGGCAGGTTTTCCCAGTGGGTCGCAGATACAGTGATAGAAATCATCTAAATTGTGAATCATCAAGAACTCCCAAATACTCTAAATATAAATGCACAGGGCTCAGAATAAAATAGCTTTTTACCGACACCTAGTCGAAACAGACAGATTGTTTGTTTCATTTCTTGCATAATTTGATAAAAATGTCTGCAAATAATTCTCATTTCCTTGAAAATCAATCACTGTGTCCACACACAACATCCACACCAGACTGTGAGCAATGTGAAACCTTAACACAACATGCTGTGGGGATGGGTTTGGGATTTTTTACATTTGAAACTCCCAAGTTGGACAACAATTCTCATTATTTCAACTGTAAGGTTCCGATGAACCTTGTAAACAAGCTTGAATTTTATTAGTGCGCCGACAAAATAAATAAACAAAAACAAATAATGTTTAGCATTGCAAACCACATGCAAAAACAGCTGCTAAGGTTTTGTATGCACGTTACCAGAACACTCTGCTGGCTTAAACCAAAGCACATGTAGACATGTCCATTTGTACATACACTGCATACAAGGCTGCACTGGAGGTCGAATCTCTGGAAAATTCGTTCTGGACAGTCGCTAGGTCCATGCAATTGTTAGCAAAAGCTGGACCATGGGCATTAGCTAATGGCACTAGGGAAATATTATTTTGCCTGATCCATGGTCGATTTGGAATCCTTGTGAGGCATGATTGAGATTCAGTCCAAGGTTTTGACACCTTGCATACATATTGCAGAAAAGGGCACAGGTTAGTTTTGCTCAGTTGATAGAAATCAGTGAGGATTTGGAGAAACAAAGCAAAATATTATTTTGGAAAACTTGGGTTGGCAAAAACATTTCCAGTACGGTGTTGCCAATAACCTGGTATTTCTAAAAAAAATTTCAAAGTTTAGTTGATATTCCTTTTATGTTTTATTTTTGCAGACAATATTGTTTTACTGTGATAAAATTGTGACATACGTGTACATGTAGTCCACCATGAGTCAGATGTGATAGGGACACACACAAAAGATGGACCCTAATTTATTGAGTGGCCCACTCAAAAGAAGCACTATGCATGGGACACAATGAATCTGTGTACTGGTCTGTAATGTGTACATGTAGCATGGATTTCCACTAATTTTCGTTGGAATGTGTACAAAGCCGTACAGTAGTCTCTGCATTTGCATCTGGCACAAGTGTCTGTCATTTCATCATGATCAATCTGCTATCCTGGAAGCACTTGTACAGTTTCCACAGCAAAAGGTACATAACTCCTGTAACCTTTGTACCAGTACAGACATTCTGTAGAGGTACATGTAGTTTCTCTGACCACACACTTCATCAAAGACTCCTATATTTCACCAGGCTGCTGCTTCAATATGTCAAAAATACCAGTGTGCTGCTCAAAAGCTATTCCCTTTGTTAAATAGCAACATACATGTACATGTAAGGTGCTCTTGCTTACTGTACATTATGAATGCTGAAATGACAAGTACAGTAACTTCCAAAAACAGAACATGAATACCAATTGGTACGTGAATGTCAATCCTCCCAATGTCTAAACATAACCGTGCCATACAAGCACTGTAGAGACGTCTTACCCTTTCTAAAACACGTGTACACCAGATCAAGTGCATTACTATTTTGTCTTATTTCTAGTTGAAAAAGTCCACTTGAATTTGTCTCATTTAGGAAATAGGAAACAAATGTACATAGAGCAGTGTGGTCACTGAAAGGTCAAACGAGTTTTATTTCATCCTGTTGTACTGTGTTGTATAGTGTATGGATTTGCTATGAGTGGTCACACGTACAAATATGTGCATACACTCTAGACATGTATGGATATATATTGTTTTTGCTGAAGGGTAAGTATGCCAGCTATACATCACATGTAGGTGTATTGAGCCTTGTCTTACATCCAGACATGTAACCGTATGCATGTGGAATGTCCAGGCATGCATGTGCTCGGTGATGATGTATTTGGCTGACTTAGTATTATTGCAGCTGCAAACATTTTATGTTGCTGCCCTACTCACCGTGGTATGATTTTGTGTATGATCACGTTTCAAACATGTAATAATTACCAGTTTAGTTTTACAGAAATGGAAAAACTGTTCATCCTTTTCATCATGTTTCTCTTACAGGAAAGGTTCCAGTTTGAATCATGCACTTCCAAAAGTTGTAAAATTGGCGAAGTGATTGTGGAGAAAGGATAGTTTGTTCGTGTCAGCCATTTTACCGTAAGGTTTATAGATATGATAAATTGCCTCTCCAACGTGAGGTGTGCACTGAATTGTGAATTGCATATACCGTACATGCATGGGGACCAATATTTCCTGACTGGGTTTGAAAGTTCTACCACACTGCCAAGCACAAGAAAAACCAGATTTCGACTCTTGAGAGTTTCCCAGGATCCTCTCATCCATTGTCGGTGATGTTCGAATACCTGTACATGTATATGGCTATAACTCAGGGTGGGGAACTTTTCTGTGAGGGTAGGGAGGAAGTTAGAACAACACTGGTTGCTGTACAGTGTGCAATGCAATATATGCAAGTAGCAGTTACTGGTACTTGCATGTATGCACCAATGACTTCAAAGCCACTGGCTGATTTTGATTTAGTTGTGACTCTGACGATAAACAACCAGAATGATAAAAAAAAAATTAAGGTACATCTAAAAGAGATGGGATTTTGTCTGACAAGGCATATTTTATACACTTTTCCAATGTTAAACATCTTGTCTTTTTAGTGGGAGTTCGCAGATCCCACTTTTAATGCAGCGTACATCTACCGGTATATATGTATCATACATGAATGTATTGTGTGAGGAGACCACTGTACTGGGTGAACCCCAACAAACATAAGTAGATACATGTACATGGATGTGAATGTATACAGTATGTGACCTGTCACCACAAAAGGAGCTAAAAGTCAGAATTTTCAAAAATTGAGATGTTAGTACATGTATTTTTAGTTTCATCAGAAAAAGAGCTTGCCGGTGGCATGTACGTGAACCAATTAGGGTAAAAGTGTAACATGACAATGTGCATTACTCTTGCAGCTTTGATCTTTGTTTCTGGCATTGTTTCAACATTTCTGACCAGGTACGAATAATGCTATCGTCAAAATGGCTGAAAAAATAACAAATTTTAATACAGGATCCTGCGAAAAATTTGGAATTAAAAGGAGACGGGTTACTCTTTCCCCAAAATTGACCGCCACTTCAATACTTGACTCTGGACCATCAAAATAGGAAAGAGCGGAATGTGACTTTATATTCCTTTTGTCGCGACGGGGCACATGTGCAAAGATCGTATAACGCCACATAGCGGCGCAAGATGGCGAACTTCACCGTGAATACACGTAAAAAGTTATAATCGCATAAGGTGTAATTACCATGGGTGCCATTTGAGCAAGCAATACGCCTGCGCAATGCACATTAATGCAAAGGCCCAGGCGCCGCAGCAGGCACGTGCACCTGGTGAGCCCGCGCCCAAGCATTACCGTAAACTGAGCAGGCGTATCGCTTGCTCAAATGGCGCCCATGGTAATTACATCCTTTGGACAGAGTTATCCATCTTGCACTTTCGGCACTATACGATCCTTGCACATGTGTGCCAGCGGAATGTTATATGTTATGTTGGTTGGTTATGTTGGTTGGAATGTTGAGGAGCATTTTGAAGTTTTTCTACAAGATATCTTCAAAATATCATGCAAGATACATGAACAATGAAACTTCCAAGTGCTCCGGGACAGCTGGAAGAATTGCAACCGACATAAATACCAGTTTGGTTATTTGGAGGGACCCTTTGTACCCATCCACAAATGTGACCTGTTGTCACAAAATATAACCTCCACCTCATGGAAAGTTCCAACTTTAGACCTACATGTGAGCATACCGCTAGGTGACAGTGTGTACAATTACATGTACATACATGTACATGTACGTGCAGTTATTGTGCACACATCTGTTGATGCTATGTACATGTACTTTCTTCCTTTGAATATAGTCTTCATTGTAGATGACTGATGCTAAGAGTTGATTTCACAAGGCACTTTAACCCATCATTACTTCAACAGAACGAATAACATAGTATGATATGTACAGATCGTTTGAAGTGATTTTTAGAAACTCACGATTGGTCAGTGAGTGCATTACTACCATAATGCCAAGACTGGAAGTACTGATGAGTCATTTACTCTTTATGAAGGGACTTTTCAGAATTAGTTTTGTGATGTCAGACATGAGCATTGCTGACTATCTTGTTGTATTGTATTTCACACAAAATAAACTGAATCGTGCCAAACGTGTACCACAATGCATTTTAGTGAGAACTTTTTTCTTGGAACCCTTTGTAGAGGGCATCTTACATGTACTTGTACATCAAAAGTTGCACAGCACAAAGGTACATGTACATGGAATCAGGTGAAATACAACTGGCCAGTGTTTGTTTGTTTGTGAAGTTGTAGGTATATCAAGCACAGGCCAAATGCTTTCAGTTTCCACATGGTTTGATTTAGTTCACAGGTTGGGATTCAAAGTTAAGCCGAGCTGCAGACATAAACTTTCTGATGGTCAGTGAGACAAGAGTCAACGTAGCCTTTGCTGTTTAGCATGCTTGCCTGCTGTAGTTGAGCTCCAGCAAACTTTTGTTTTCTTTTGTTCAGTCTTTTCAGCAGTTTTGACAATTAAATTTAGTTTATAACAAGGTGCCTAATATCATTTCATGTCTAACCGATTTGAATATTTGGTAAAATGTTCACAGTCCAATTTGTTTTCTTCACCATCTACATGTTTGTCTCTTGTCCACCGTTCTGTTCTCTAATACCTAAGTTACTGCCACATTTCTGTAGGAACCTCAGTCAATCCGGCGTAGGAAATCGGAGGAGAGCAGTGAGATGGAAGTTCGATGGAGATCCAAAGTTCGGGGCACGAGTGAACGCTTCTCCAAAACCCAGTCTGTTTTCCTGCCCTCTGAAAGTCGCTTTTTGATGGTTTGTGCCCGCTATTTCTCCCTGGCATTCTTGTTTCATGGGGCTGGCCTGTGGTGTTGGCATTGTCATGTCTGTGTGGAGCACCCCCTGTCCTGTCTTGGTTGTGTACTTCAGTTTGTCTCGTGTCAGATCCATCTACCCCTCATCTGCAATCATCCGTCAGCTGCATTCATTGCTCATGCTCAGCTCGTGGTTGAGAGAAGTTGGTATATTACAGAGACACTCAGATATTTTCTGTGGAAACGCAGGGTCTAAAATATGCCCACTTCCCTAGCAGAATGCAGAATGAATAAATGTAGAATACATGTGACCCAGTCTCACAAAATGGAGCAACTTGAAAGTACGGGGGGGGGGAAGATTATGCCGTCCCATGTTCAATCTTATGAAACTTGTTGTGGACGTAGAAACACTCCTTGTGTAGACTTAGGATCAGGATCACTGGGGCAAGATGGTGGATTAATCAAATGTACACATTCATGAGTCACTGCATATTTGTTGATGTGTCACTGGTTGCAGGAAGGGAATTCATTGCATGCATAACTGTAGTTGGTGGCTTTATTGACAGGTAATGGGTTATTTACGTATTCATTTTGACATGAAATCAAGGGTGGTGAAAAGGTCTTTTTAAAACCATTTAAATGTGTACAAATGTACATTGTACATGTGGCATTCCGTGAATACTGTGCAGCCTCTTGTAAGTTCACTCAAGCATAGCGAGCTCAAAATATTGGACTCAAAATATAAAAAGGTTTGACCTTTGCTCTGGGGAGATGGAAACAACCTTGTATAGTGGTCTCAGAATGTTTAGGCTGCATGTATTTTGGAATAGTGTTACATTTCCTGATGTGAAGGGAAAAAATTACAGGTAGGAAAAAAAAGAGGCCTGTTAGAACTGACATTCTTAAGTTCATCATTGATGATGACATGAAGTTTCAAGTCAATACACTTTTGCCCGTTCTCACACATTTGTTCTTTTTTTTATGTTTCTTTTCATTCATTTACCTGTTAAGTTAGAAGAAATCATTGGAGAAAATGAATTTTGTTGTCATGTATATCACATGTAAATACCCATCACCAGATTTTGTCCATCTTTTTTACATTCAGTCTGAACTAACATGTAAAAAGTTGAAATAAAAATGTTTAAAGCAGTTTTATCTCTTTTTTTTTTTGTTCAGTCTTGATCGTGTAGCAAGAAATTGCTTGAATTGATATGTACATATAGTAGACTTTTCCCCCGTTTGGTCACATGCATACAGTGCAAACTTGTATGTTGATTTACACAGAGTTGGAGTGCTTGGGTTGTGCATGTGGTATCCCTCTACACCAAATTATTCCACTGGTTTATCATTGGCAGTTTAGTTCTAGAACAATTACCGTACATTCTGATTTGACATTAAATCATAGAAATTTAGAAACCACAGGTTGTTACAATTCAGGGCTTTTGAGGTAGCCCTTTTTTTTTAGTGTCCGAGAAACTTTTTTCACAAATTTTGCTTCGCTTCATTTTTTTTTTTCTCTTTCTTGTTCATTTTTTTTTAAGATGTGTTTTTGCCGAAAGCCCTCCTCATTTTCTTATGTAAATCACTCTTTCCTTATTATGGTCAGTTAAATCAATTTGGCATTTGGCACAAATATTCGCTTTCCGGAGGCAAGTCGTCTACATTTAAATGATTATGAATTTCTCAAAGATCTGGCATTTGAGGTTATTTTGGATCCGTGTTTGTTGTCCAAATGCATGAATGGTAATACGGGTGTACACATGCGTAGTTACAGACATTGTAAACAGCAAAAGTAGGTGATGCTGTAGGCATCAACACATTTGCATCACTGCTATCACACAGCATCATCTTCACCCACTCTTCAAACTCAAAACGTCCATATTTGACATTGTGATTTGCATGTATTCAACTTTCGGCATGGACTTTTTTTTCAAAGGACTAAAACTTTGTGTAAGTTTGAAAAATTTAGAAAGCTAGACTTTCATATCAGAATGACTGTTTGCTTGTGTTTCAAAAGCATGAAGAGATCCATAACTTGTACACTGAGCTTGTTCTCTTGAATGATGAGGGGTATTATTTGGATGTAATGAAGATGATCCTGTGTACAGTTACTGGCTGTGACATTTTTTTTTCATTTTAAAAATGGTATTAAAATAGATGTTTAAAAGTGTACAAATCCTATGAACTACTGGTGGATTGACTTTTTAAGGAGGTGATGAGACCTGAGGTACCATAGAGTGAACTGGTGTTGGTTTTGTCCAATTTCTCCTGCCTGTTTTTTCTCCAAGCATGCTTTGTAACTTATCACAGAAAAATAGCACTAACTACCAAGAGCAGTAGATGGCAACAGTAGGCCATGTAACCAATTACACACAATTAAGATTGTCTTTCCAAACCTTCTTTCTCTGTCTGTTTGTTTGTTTGTTTTGTTCACTAATACGCAGCTTATATGTTTTGTTGTAACAAAAATTGTGCAGAAAATCACAGCGTGCACATTCACATACTAATTAGTAGATAATGGATCCCATGCTAGAAAAAAATGTATTTGCCTCAAGATTCACATGTGATTTATCCAAACAACTTCATAATGTTCGGCCGTGAGAATCTGCTGAGACACCTGAGACCAACAGTGGAAATCATCCCATGTTTATTTTTGCTTCATGCAAAGAATGTTCACCGGCGTCATTCAGAGATTGAGGTGGGAGACATCCACCCAGAGACAGCCAGCAGCGAGAAGGAGGGTTACCTGCAGCGTGCTCGGCCTGGTGAGGCCACCCGCAAAGTCAAATGGCAGCAGGTCTACACTGCTGTCACTGGTTCCCGACTGGCGTTCTTTAAGGACCACAAGGTGGGGAAACTGAATGAAATTGCCTACAACACACGTAGCACCTCAATTTTTGTAATCAAAAAAAAGGTCTCTGTTCCATCGGGTGCTATGACAGGGCATCGATGATGAATTGTTTTGTTCTTGGTTTTTTTTTTTTTAATACACATGAATGCCCCTCTAATGAGAGTTCAGTTAAGTACTCACTATTTCTAGGCACAGAGTCACAAATGCTCTGAGCCCATTCCTGCTATTTATATCAAGCTGAGAGTTGAAACCCCTCCATCGTCACCACTCCAACGCGCCTGGTCCCATCGGAATGCTTGGCATTTCATATCGTTTGATTTCAAGACACGTGCATCCCTTCTTTTCCCCCTACCCCTTCTTCAGAAATCTGGCACCCCAGTCATGCTGCTGGAACTCTGGGGATCACAGGTAGTGTTGCACAGTGAGAAGCAATCCAAGTACCTCAAGAAGAGCTACATAGAGGTAGGTTGCTGCATAGAACATGCATGGCAGCATGCTGTTGTATGAGACCGAGTAAGGAACTATGGAGTCAGTGAAAAGAAATAGAATCGCTTTGAATATCTGATCTGTTACGGGATGCACATTATAATATTTTATGTCAACTGCACTTGGAATTGGGTCATTTTTGCATGCAGGTTTGTAGGTACCGGTATCTTAGAGGAAATGTGGAGAAATGACCCCCCTCCCCCGTACTCCCTTACCTCTTCCGTAATGTCGTAAAAGGAATATCAAGTGAATTTTCTAACCTGACAGACTTCGATCTTTACAGTGGCCACCAGCGGCCATTGTTGTGATGCACCAGTGATTTGCCGTGATGCCCTTTAAAAACAGCATGCACCTTTTGGCCACTTGGCCGATGTGCCCCTCTTCAATGATCTGTAGGCCCATTTTAAAGTTGTATTCAACTTTCAAGTTGCTGTTTAGCACAAGCGTTTCTGTCAACAGCCGGCTGCACTGAGTACTATTTTTTTCAGAGACTGGTTTTGCATTGCCCTGTAGACAGCATGGTAGTTGTGTGATACTAAAAACATGGCACCGAACTACTTTTATACATAGACTGGTTACAGGTCGCAGCACAGAATTACACTTTCTGCACCAATTGGATTCTGTACATAGCGCATATTAAGACCGAGTCACTAATTTTGGGGGATAACAGATTGGAGTACAACCCAGTCTATTTTGTTTTGTCGCTATTTTACTGGTATTCATGCGGGCACGACAGCAGGCTGCTATTGGATAAATGTTTGTGACCCAGTGACCAACTTGCTTGAATTACATTATTTGTGAGTAATTACATTGATTTTCGAAAACAGACAGTGTTGGCTTTATGGCATCATGAAAAGTAATAAGACACAACACCAAACGGTCAATTGAAAGTTAATACAGTATTATTTATTTTTACTTTTTACAATTAACGTAGTGCCACTGCTCAGCATGTGAACAGAAACAATGAAAACTGCAGGTTGAAAGTTAAACACCATGTTGAAATTGAAGGAAAGTTGGTTAAAGTCACCAATAAGTAAAAGTTCCAAAGTGGCCTTGAAGCCCTTTCGGTTGGCCTTGGTACCCTTTGGTTTTTGAGAGCCTTCAAGGTCAAGTGGCCTTGACCCCCTGAAGCTTCAGCTTGAAGCCTGTTACTGCCCATATATAGTAACTTCATTTTTTGGCTTCATTTCCTTGTGCTTGTTACTTCCCCCAAGTAATGTTTTTTTAGTGTTTGCATTCAGTCATTATTAATAACTCATTGCTACATTTTACATCGCTGAATTGTTTCTCATTTGAACTTTGGAGCTTGACTCACAAATGTGACTTTGTTCCCAGATACCTAAAGAGCTAGAGGCAGCTTCCACAGTCCTGATTCCTGCATCAAAAGTGGTATGCTGTGAGTGCATTCGAATTCACCGTTCACTGTGTTACGATCTCTCCAATAGTTAAAGACATCACTGGATAAAGAATACTGGCTGATGGCTGACACGGAGGAAGAAACACATCTGTGGTATGCAGCGATCAATGGTGCAGTGCGATCACTGGTAAGTTACATCAACATAGCGGTATTATGGATTTGGTGTAAAGAGAGTATACGGTGCTCTGTCTTCACTCATTTCCTAGCCAGAGCTAATATGTAGGAAAGATTTAAGTAAGGCCAGTTATGCCTGCCCTGGATGTGAAAGAGTACGCGACTGTGAAATTGTGACATCAGATCAAATGCTTGTGCTTCAGAAGTCCAACAAATTTCAGGTTAGGGAAAAATTCACTTCATGTTTTTGTCTGCCTGCAGTATGAACCGGTCCTTACAAAAATTTGCACCAAATTGTGGGGACTTTTGAGTGTGTCCCCATTAATTATGAGCGGCCGAGTCAGACGAATGATAGAAAACATTCCAAAAATGCCCAATTACTGTCTACATCTTAGACGGACAAGTGGGGCCAGTAATATCTTAGCGATACTTCTTGTAGTTTTTTGCTTGCAATTAAATACAAATTATTGCTGTGTCCAGGAAATAGAGAGAGAAAAATCCCTGATATTAGACCAACTTTTGCCATCCTGAATACACTTTTTTATTTTGATACATTGTTCCATTATCCATGCAAAGTTTGGAATTTTATTCTTCTTTTTCCAATACATCAGTGTTCAAAGACTTGGTATGAATTTGGCTAAGACTGGTCAACAAAGCGTTGACCACCACTGGAAAGCTCAGTACATAAGGAACAAAATGTGCTATTTCATCACAGGGAGGAATCATGAAATCTAAAATACACTTTTGTACAATGCAGTAATATATTTATTAATTTTTTTAAATTTATTTATTCTGGTTTATCGAACTTTCCCATCGCAGCCCAAGGGGCTAAATTCAGTGTAAGTTTACCATCAGGGTATTAAAAAGAGATGTAAGAAGAAGGAAAAATTAAGTACAAATCACATAGAATTAAGAAATTGAATAACAAAAAAGCTTAGATAAAAACAAACAGACTAATACTACACAATTACAAACAGAAAACCCAAAATTTGCAGATTCAAAAACAAAAAATTCCAACAATCAAAGTTAAAACTGGAGTTTAAAAAACTATTAACAATTCGCATTCAATAAGTGGGATGGCTTTGTTTTTGTACCTGTTTGTACGACATAAGGCATGGACGAAGGGTTTGTGTTTTGGAGGTTATTTGACCTTATCAGGGGGAGCAAACTGGCATGTTTCTCAGAACAAAGGAGATTTTTACCAAATTCAAACATATCTGCTCACGTCTTTCTTCAAGATAGGGAAGTTGCAGTGTGTCGCACATGAAGTCGTATGAAGTTTTACTAATAACATCAACCGATAAGATTGTGCGGAATGCTCTTTTTTGAAACTTCTCGAGCAGCTCTTTTTGATCCCTAGTCAACCCAGAATGCCAAACTGGACATGCATATTCAAGAGTGGGTCGAACGTATTGCTTGTAAACAGTCACAAGGTTTTCAGTAGGTAAACCACACTGTTGGAGTTGACGTAAAAAATACAACCTGCGATTAAAAGCGTTGCACATAGTAATCACTTGAGTATCCCATCAGAGATTATTTTGAATGTGGATGCCAAGTATTTTCATACAGTTCACCTGATCCAAGACTGAGGTACCAATTTTAAAGTCTGAACCAAAGGTAGAATTCCTTTGAAAACAAACAGTCATCGCATGACATTTATCAGGATTCAACAATGTTATGATCCACTCGGTCGAATGCTTTGGAAAAATCTGTAGCAACAATAACAGAGTTTTGGGCTTTATCAGTGTCAAGATAAATTCTATCTAACATTGATACCAAATAATGAGTGGCTGAACAACCACTAAGAGAACTGAACTGTTGTTTGTTTGTTTGTTTGTCTTGATTCCAACAAAACACAAAATCTTGTAAACAATGGGGCTATTTATCCCGAAAACAACTCCAGAAGAAAGCATTCATTAAGGCTAATGACTGCACATGTACATTCAGGGCACACAGGGTAATGTTGTTATGAGATCATGCCAAGTACCAACAAATGCATGAATATTGAATCTCCTATACCTCAGCACACAAAGGTTTAAGGATGCAGATTACCAGCGAAAAATTGCGGCAGTGTAGCAAGACCTTGCTGCGCTTTGGCCATGGACATACCAGGCATGCCAGAAAGCGGTAATTGGCCAGATGTTATAGCCCGGGCAGTTCAAACTCGTCCTGTGTCCTTCCTCTATGAGACATGGGAGTACATTTATAGTGTTGCAATCAGGAATGTAATCCTCTGACAAGCAGATGAGTGGCCTGCCATCATCTGATGCACTCTCTAGCTTGCTCCATGTGGATCTTTGCTAATCAGCTTTTATATCCTCTTGTGTGCATTCCATTCAGAGAGCATTATTAGCATGTCTTACTGACTGATTAAGAATTAACACAGAGGAAGGGTTCTTACACCTACATGTAATTCCCTTCGCAGTTTTGCTTGAAATCCTCCTGAATCCTCCAAAACCCATCATTGAGCATAAAACACTGGTACACTGTTAAATTAGAATTTAACCCATGTTTGCAAAATGTTCCCAAACCTGCTGGCTTTAATTCAGTGAGACTTACATTCAAACCATTTAACGCAAAGCAGAGTTCATTTTGCAGACTTAGCTTGCTTGAATCTTTGTGGCATATCAATGGAATCAGTCGCTAGTTTCTAAACGTTAGAAAATAATCAGTTCCACCCACCATTGTATTAACCAAGCCAACTTACATATTTTTCAAAACATGTTTATGTGCCAATATTTGTCTGTAATGTGGCTTAACCAATGATAAGAGAATAGTAATGTACATGTACATTTCCAGATGTTGAAGCTCATACTTAGATAACAGAAAACACGGATGTAAGACCTGTCACTTGTTGTTCTGAGAATCTTACAAACATATAAGTATAGTTAAAGGAGGATGTATGTATATGTACTCTACGTGTATGTGTAAGACATATAGGAACACACAAGACTAAATCAACATCAGAGTGGGCTAAGTTTCCCTTTGCAAACCAGGAACAATCTCAAAATAAACCATTAGGGGAAATGGCCAATATTCAATTTTCAAAAAAAAGATTTGAATATTCAATAATGGGTTGAATATTCATTTAGTGGAATATTCAGCACAGCCCTATCACAGGCGTTGACATTTTGGCTGCTAATGCTTGCCAAGCAAACATTTTCTGTGTTTCGCAAAGTTCTGTGCAAAGTATCTTTGAAATTGAACCTGAAAAACACTGACAGATAGAGCTGCAAGTAGCTGTCAAGGTTCGACTTCGGTTCAAACACAGTTTAGAAATTTTTTGTCGAACTTTGGTTCGGTTCGGGTTCAGACATGTGTACGTACCTGTATATACAATGCGCATTGAGACATCCAAGAGCACGCTACAACCATGCCGTGTATAGTACTTCCATGTGAAAACTACGTTAATACATGCAAGGAATCTCCTCTCCATCCCTATCCATGAGCAACCTCAATGGGAACATGTTTTTTTTTCTGAACTGTTTCGCCAAAGTTTGTTTAGGAGTTAAAATTCCATAGAAAGCTACCGTTGGAGGTGTGACAGTTTCAGACCATGTTTTGCCAACCAAAAGCGGTTGTGTTTGGACCACGCTTGACTCAACAAAACGATCGGACGTAGGATATGTGAAAACAGAAAAAACAGCTTGCTCAAATAGGAGTTTACAGGATACAAGATCAAATAAGATTTCAAACGAATTGTGTGTTGGTTATTTTCAAGAAACAGAGTCAGCTGCCAAACCATGGCTTTTGATGTATTAGAAGAAGAACCTTGGTATCAAGTCAGCATTCTGTCCCATGTGTCCAAAGGGGCAATTTTCTATCAGTCTTTTTCAAACGGATAATGGCATTTATTATTTGAGATTTGCGAACAACGTATTACAACGTATTCACACTATTACTTCGATCATGCTTCAAACATATGCGATCAACGGAAGGCAAGTTGGGCCACCGCGTGAAGCAAATCTTGTTACGCACTACACCGGCTCGGCCCGCCTGGCAAAATCAGTTTTCCTTCTGGAGTTGCCTTTGATTGAGTACAAGTCCGATTGTAATCAGCATCCAATCGAAATTCGTTTTGCATGGCCATTTATGACATCATTGGTCTAATATGGAACCTGACAGCGTGGCTATCGGAGATTGGCAAACGTAATGCTAAATCTGAGTGTACATAAGCACTGTTGGATGTAGTGAGAATTTAGAATTGTTGTGCAGCGGAAATGCTGTACGTTGCATGTTCTTGGTTGATTATTAGTGAATTCTCACCACATGCTTTTTACAACCATAGCGTGATGCAGGGCCATGGTAAGTTAACTATACATGTATTTACGTGTGCAGTTAATTAACCCTAACACCCAAGGGTGTATGTAAAATTGTATTGAAATGGGAGGATTTGGGACTGTTAGGGTTAATAGCACATGTGCCAAGGGCTGGAGCGGCACTGATTCAGCACAACTCATTATCCATTTTTCATTGTGTTTTCGTGCGTGCATTCCGTACGCTATCAATGTCATGCCATATTAAAGCCAAACATCTAAACCGACCAGTTTGGTTTGGTTCGAAAGTGCCATGTTTGATGATTTTTGGTTCGGTTTGGCAGTTCGACTGCAG